TGCTCTCCCATTCAATAAGATCAAGGCTGATTTCATAAAATCTGAAAGACTTTAGATGCTGCAAATCAGAAACAAAATCAGAAGTTGCTGTAAAAGCTCAGCAGGTCTGGCAGCATCTGTGAAGAGAAATGTTAATGTTTTGGGTCCAGTGACCCTTCATCAGAACTGACTGTAGGTAGGAAAATGTCGGTTTATATGCAGAAGATAGGGTTGTGGGAGGGGTTAAGAAGTAAATGATAGGTAAGGATAGAGCCCAAAGGGAGAGAAGAACAGTTGGACAGACAAGGAAGTGGATAACAATCTGGCTAGGAGGGTGAATAGCTGTTAAAGGAGACAGTTAGTGGCTAATGAAAGGTAGTGTATAATGGCAGACTATGTGATAACAAGGATTGGTGTGTCGGGTAAGGGGCTAGGACATGGGAGAGTTCAGGCCCTAAAATTATAGAACTCGATATTGATTCCAGAGGGCTGCAGGGTCTGCAAGCAGAAAATGAGGTGCTGTTTTTTCAGCTTTGCTGGAACACTGCAGCAAGCCAGAGACAGAGTTGTTGGCCAGGGAGCAGGGTGGTCCGTTAAAGCGGCAGGCAACTGGAAGCTCAGGGTCTTTTTATGTGGGCAGAACGTAGATGTTCTGTGAAGCGGTCACCCAGTCTACGCTTCGTTTCCCCAATGTAGAGGAGACCACACTGTGAGCAGTGAATGCAGTAGACTAGATTCTGGGAAGTGCAGGTGAAGTGTTGCTTCACTGGGAAGGTATGTTTGGGCCCTTGGATACTGGGGAGGAGGAAGGTAAATGGGCAGGTGTTGCACATTCGCCGGTTACAGGGGAAGGTCCTGTGGTGGTGGTGTTGGGGTGAAGGAAGAGTGGACCACGTGTCCCAGAAGGAACGGTATCTGCAAAAGCTGGACAAGGGAGAGAGCGGGAATATGTGTCTGGTGGGTGCATCTCACTGGAGGTGGCAGAAATGGCGGCTGATGATCTTCTGAATGTTGATGGCATGGTAGGTAAGGACGAGGGGAACTCGACCGCTGTTGCAGGAAAGAAGAGAGGGGGTGAGGGCAGAAATGTGGAAAATGGGTCGGACCCAGTTGAGGACCCTGTTGACAACAGTGCTGGGGAATCCTCGGTTGAGGAAGAAGGTGGACATTTCGGAGGCTGTCTTGTTGAAGTTGGCCTTATCGGAACATATGCGAAGGAGATGAAGGAACAGGGTGAATAGAATAGAGTCTTTACAGGAAGCAGGATGCGAGGATGTATCGACCAGATCGCTGTGGGAGTCGGTGGGTTTATACTGGATATTAATGGTCAGTCTATCCCCAGAAACAGAAACAGAAACAGAGATGTTGAGAAAGGGGAGGTGGGAGTCAGAGATAGACCAGGTGAAAGTGAGGGCAGGGTGGAAATTGGAAGCAAAATCCATAAGCTTTTCCAATTCTGGATGAGGGAGGGATACAGCACCAATGATACCATCGATATATTGGAGAAAGAGTTGTGGTGGGGGCCGGAATAGGACTGGGACAAGGAATGTTCCACATACCCCACAAAGAGACAGGCGTAACTGGTGCCCATGTGGATACCTATGGCCACCCCTCTGACCTGAAGAAAATGAAGGAGTTAAAAGAGGAATTGTTGAGGGTGAGGACGAGCTCAGCCAAGTGGAGGAGGGTGGTGGTGGGTGGGGATGGCTCAGGTCTTTGCTGCAAGAAGAAGTGGAGAGCCCTGAGACCCCCCCTGGTAGGGAATGGAGATGTAAAGGGATTGCACGTCCATGGTAAAGAAGAGGAGGCTGGAGCCTGCAAACTGTAAATTCCGAAACTGGCGGAAAGCATCAGAGGAATCATGGATGTACGTGGGCAGGGACTGGACCAGGGGTGAGAAGACTGAGTCAGGGTAGGAAGAGATGTGATCTGTGGGGCAGGAGCAGGCTGAAACAATGGGTCTGCCAGGGCAGTCCTGTTTGTGGATTTTCAGAAGGAGGTAGAAGTGAGCTGTGTGGGGCTCGGGGACTATCAGCTTGGAGGCAGTGGGAAGGAGATCACCAGATGAAATGAGGTTAGTGACCGTAGTTGATATAATAGCCTGATGTGCCATTTTTACCCCACCATGGTCCAGGGAGGAGGTATCTGAGAGCTGGCACTCAGTTGCAATGTAGAAGTCAGTATGCCAGACTACAACAGCACCACCGTTATTTGCAGGCTTAATAACAAAGTCAGGGTTAGATCTAAGCACAGAGAGTGCAGTCAGTTCGGAGGCAGATTTCATTGTGGTCTTGACCTAGCTCTTGTCTGCCCTATAACCCTTTACTCCTTTGTCTATCAAAAATCTGTCTAATTCAGTCTTGAATAAATTTGATGATTTGGTCCCCACTGCTTTCTGTGGAAGAGAATGAATCACTGTCAGTGAGAAACATTTTCCTTACTTCCATATTAAAAGGGAGACCATTTTTATTCTCATTCTTGTTTTCACATCCATTTACAGCTTTATTCTTCCCCATTTCTATAACCCCTCCACCCATAATCTATTGAAATATCTGTTCTCCTCTGACTCTGTCATTCTGTGCATTCCCAATCCTGATTGGTCCACCTTTGGTGGCTGTGCCTGCAGTTATCCAGGCACTAAGCTCTGGTATTTCCTCCCTGTACCTCTCCACTTCGCTACCTCACTTCCTTCTTTTAAGACAGCTCTTAAACATGACATTGTGATTGACCTTCTTGGTCATTTGGCCTAATAGGTCCTTGGCATGGTGGTATGCTTTGTTTTATCATGCTCTTTGGGATGTTGCAAAATTTAATAGTGCTCTCTCTTCATACAAGTTTTTGCTGTAGTCATGAACATGTGCTAAAATACTTTGCCCAAATGAAACTGAAAACTGCTCTGAATAACTAGAAAGAAAACATCAAAAACTGGCATGCGGGAAGGCATATAGCTTTTGAAAAGAATCAATTACAGGTAATTATAATGGTCTGATGTTCAGCTCTATTGAGCCACCCTTCATTTGACTCAGTGTATTTAGCATATTTAGTTTCCCTTCCTACCTCCTCCAGTCACTTGTAGCATCACAAAGAATTTATCTGTATCTCTCATCTCTTCCTCACTTACATGCTGTTTCAATTGGCATATTCAGCTCCCAATTGTATGCTAATGACACTCAAATCTATGACTGCACAAAGTTCAGATCCACCTCTGTGCAATAATGCCTGTTTAAATAACATTATGGATCAACCAATCTTTTCTTCAAACCTATATAATAAGGTAAAGAACTGCAGATACTGGAGATCTGAAACAGAAAAAAACTGTTTTTTTGAGAAACTCAGCAAGTGTGGCAGCATCTGTGTAGAGAAAGCACAGTTAATGTTTCGAGTCTGGTCTGTGCACTCTGGTTTCAATCCTTCCACAAATTAATTTCTCCCTATATACTCTGTCCTGGCCCTTCATGAGTTTAAATACTTCTAATCAATCAACTTTCCGTTTTCTCTTTTTCAAGAAGAACCATCCCAAATTCTCCAATGTTTCCATACAATTGAAGTTCCTCATCCCTGGAAGAATTCTCATGACTATTCTCTTCATTCTATCTAATGCTTTTACATCCTTTCTCACATGTGAAGCCCAGAATAGGATGCAACATGCCTGTTGAAGCCAGTATTTTATACAGGTTTGACATAACTTCCATGGCTTTGTAGTCTATACCCTATTGATAAAGAACAGAAATAAAGCTTAATAAGCTTTATTAACAGCCTTCTCGTTAAAATCTCACTACTTTCAATGATTTATGCACATATGCATCCAAGCCTCTCTGCTCCTGTTCTTCCTTTCAAATTGTACCCTTTAGTATATAAGCTCAATTATTCTGTCAAAATGAATAAGTTCACACTTCTCTGCATTAAAATCCGTCTGCCATTTGTCAACCCATTCCAATAGCCTGTCAATGTCCTCATGAAATTCCACACCAACTTCCTCATGGTTCACAGTACTTCCAGGTTTTATATCATCTACAAGTTTTGACAATGTGCTCTCTATACTTTGGTCACAGAACAAAGCCTAAAGCCAGCTGGTAATCGTATGTTAAATGATTATTGAACTAAGAATTATTGTATAACAATGAATGGGTACAATCCTGTTTTGTCCCTGAATATGTATGCAATAGAAGATTGAGATATGCTGCTCTGAGATTTGCTTTATTTCTTGAAACAAGTCTAGCTTTAAAGTTCCACTACAAAAACGAAATGATGGAATGGAAATAAACTGTGGACAAAGTATTCAATTTTGGCATAGCGTTGTCATTAGTCAGGTTATGTTTTATTCAGTTTAGATATACAATTCAACTCATTTTCCCACAAATTACCTTATATAACAATACAAGACTGGCACATTTCATGCCCCCCTAATAATACAGAAGAGCTGCAAAGCATTTTTTTCTGGAATTAGTCCCGAGTCAATCACATTCCCCCATCTGTGTTTCACCAGCTAGCTAAGGAAAGAAACAATGTTGTCATTCTTTGCCTGGATTCAGCTTAATTATGTAAAATGTGATGATATAGATTTGGTGATTTAAAATGTACTACTTTGACAAATAAGTGCTTCAACACAAATCAGACTACCCAAACTTGGTACAATGGTGAATATTTACATATCAAACACATTCAATTGCCACTTCTATGTGAAGTCTTCTTGATAAACTTGTTCCCTCCAAATATAAAATAGGATTGTTGAACATTTTCCCTTAAAGCAGCATTTCTTAAATAGATTGAATACCACTTCTGCAGGTACCATCTTACACAAATCCTCTGTGACTCAAGTATACTTCTGGAAATCTAAAAAAAGGTTGATGTATTGAAAATAGCTCTGTATCTAAATGAAATCTGTGTAAAGACCAACAAAGAGTCTTTGTAACCATCTGCTATCTAAGACAGTTACAGACATGGCTCAAATCACTGGATTATGAAAAAAACGAATCTACCAAGGAAGTTTCATAATACAGAAAAGAATATTGGCTTCCTACCTGGTGCAGCTTGCATTTCAGCAAAGCCTCCAGTCATAATAAGTGCCTCAATGATCTTAATGTGGTGTTCTGGATTCACATCAGCACTGAAAACAAATATAAGCAGCATTTAACATTTCTGTATACATTCATCTTGGTAGAATGTCTGGTTGGGAGACAATTTACAACATTTGGCTTGACATAAGCATTCTGAAAATTCTTGCCACTGACTCCAATCTCCCAAACAACGATGTGTTTAATAAATAGCCATCAAGAGTTAGATGTGGAAACACTGCAACTCATGGATAGAAATTCAAATAAACCCATTCTTCCCACAGCTTCCTTTGCTATTTCAGAACTGCTGACAAAGGTTTATAATCTCACGCCAGCACAGAAATGTGCAGCGAGCATGTTTCATTAATCTATGCTGTGCTTTGTGGTGTACCATGCAAACCACTGAAAGCTGCATGGAGGTAGCTAGTCCTCAAATGTAGAACATTTACTCACCACCTAATTTCTGCAGCAAGTTTACCCCTGTTACCATTTCAACCAAAGTGATTAGAAATAGAAATGTATCAAACTTAACTTTATTTAACTCATGACCACTTACACCACACCCACCAACCATCATTCTCCCTCCCCTACTACAAGTCTTCCATTCCTCCTGTAGACTAAAAGCTTTCAAAGCTATTCTTTGCAGGGTATCTTGATTTACCTTGTACTCTCTCCTACTCTTTCCATACTTCAAGAAGTTTCAAACTCTGGATGCTGCCCCCTGAACAATGTTTCTCAGTTTAATCCCTACACAAACCCATCCATAGAATCTTTTTTTACAGCTCATGAAAGTTGCTGACAGCCTGGAACATAACAGCACTGCAATGAACTAACACAGAGAGATTTTTTCAGGAGATAAACTGAAATTCTCACGCTTCAGTTAGCTGCAGGGAAATATCTCATGCCCTGACTGCAGCTTTTTTCTTTTTGCAAATGCCTATGGCCGATAAGATCATCGCTGTCAATCCTCTGTCCCTCTGCCATAAGGCAGAAGTTAACCCACACACATTGGTCTCTTTTTGATAGTTACATGGTCTCCTAGCATACAACATGGTCCCATTATCATTGCTGCCCAGACATATGTACTGTGTACAATCTCTTGCAATTAATAAAAGAACTACCTGGATCTGTAAAGAGAAGAGATTATTTGCTACTTACCTTGCCTGATGGCTCCAAACAAAATGAACATCCAAAAGTACAAAATATGAAGAACTAATTTCAAAAGAATTACTCAGAAAACTTGTTTTACACAGTGGCTTATTATCAATTCACATGTCTATCACTGCATAATACACAAACACTGTTGATGGATGACAGTGATACATAACACTTTTATTTGCAGTTTCTTAATTAACACAGACCACCCATAACATTGCTTCCCTGCAACTTTTCCCTGACTACGGCATATTTACAACACTCAATAACAGTGTTATAATGAGAATCCTCTATATAACAACTCAGAAGCATCATGGAATCAGGTGTGTAAACCAAAGAAAGGTTGGCACTTTTCATACAGTTTGAACAAAGTGAAAATGCAGTAACCAAATGTAATTAGAATATGCAATCTCAGAAAAAAATTGTGTGACTAACACCTTGTTCTTTTGTCTAGATGTGGCAGTATCAGCATGCACCTAATGCTTTACACAACCGATCAGCATTTTTCAGGTCTGTCCCCAGTACTTCCCCGACATCTAACCATGTGAGAGGAACTATGCCAATGTCAGATCCTGCTGCTGACATAGATTATTTCAAATTCAGCATAATTAAAACCATTTTATTTCAGTGGCTTGCCAATAAAACGTAACTAAATTAAGAGCTCAAAACTAATTGTTTCAGAGATAGTAGGAACTGCAGATGCTGGAGAATCTGAGATAACAAGGTGTAGAGCTGGATGAACACAGCCGGCCAAGAAGCATCAGAGGAGCAGGAAGGCTGACATTTCAGAAAGAAAGGTCTAGGCCCGAACCGTCAGCCTTCCTGCTCCTCTGATGCTGCTTGGCCTGCTGTGTTCATCCAGCTCTAAACTAACACTGTTTGTTCTTGAATTATTATACTTTGCTAGAAGACTGAACGTTTGCCACTCTTGCACCTAATGTTAGCCCACTACTAATGTATTAATCTACTGATGTCACAAATCTGCAGTTTGACCAAGTCCACTATCTCTACCCATAAAAAGATCAATTTCATAGATCACAGAATCCCTACAGTGTGAAACAGGCTCTTTGGCCCAACCAGCGCACACCAAACCTCAGAGCATCCCACCCAGACACATCCCCACTATAAACCACCTAATCTACACATCCCTGAACATTACAGGCAATTTAGCATGGCCAATCCACCTAGCCTGCACATCTTTGGAGAGTGGGAGGAAACCAGAGCACCTGGAGGAAACCCATGCAGACATGGGGAGAATGTGCAAACTCCACACAGACAGTTGCCCGAGGGTGGAATTGAACCCAGGTCCCTACTGCTGTGAGGCAGCAGTGCTAACCACTGAGCCACCGTGCCACTGTGCCACCCCTAAATTTAAGTGCAACGCCTTGCTCCTTAGACTTAAACAAAGGTGCAGAAGACAACCAAACACATATCTCTTTGGCATTCATGATTCTGCGACATTTGCAGCATGAACAGTGCCTGATACTGCTGAGATTGCTATAAAGCTGCTGGCCAATCTGATTTGCCTGCAGCTCTTGACGATGCAACTTCTTCCCATTGAGAAGTGGAAATCTCGCTCTCACCTGCTGAAAGCCGTTGGCAGTGAGTAATTGCTGTGGCTTTGTTTAACAAGGCTTAGCCATAAGGGTCTGTCCAAAACTTGTTGGTCTTCCAAAACAAGGTTATGACCAAGTGCTGCAGACTGGCACATTCCAAGGTCCAGGACTACGTGCTAAAGCACTCACTAATGTTGGGGCAGATGCCGCCAAGGTGCAGTGGGGAAGGATCACTGTCTGACGTCTTCCTGCTGAAGTTAAACAGGGGACCATTCAGTTATCGGACCTTCCTGGTGCCTCAAATGCATGTAAATATAGTCTTGTACAAGGAAGAGATGCCTTTAGTTTGTTTGTTGGTTAGAGTCAAACTCCAATGTTTGTTTTCTTCTGCTGTTGTACAGAACCGAACTCTGTTTGTGACTAAGATGTTTTTAATGAATAAAGTATATTTTGAAATAAAAAAAAAGTGCAGCAATGATGTTTCCCATAAGCTTCTATGAGTTTGAAAATTTCAGTAAATCAATGGATCGGTCTCTTGGACACAGAAGAATATTTTTGTTTGTAGTTATATAGGAGGGTGAGAAATTTTGTCTTGTCTGCTGCTTGTTTTCTAACAGTCACCTGAACAGTAGGCAGATTTAAATATTAAAACAAAATTACTTCTCATTTGTCAGTCAAGGCCTGGCTGACTAGGTTTTTTTGCACAGTGAAGCTACTTGTTCCACAGTAAAACCAACCAACCTTAAAAGTCCAATCTCAGATTGTTTAGAAAAATCACTAAATTACAGGGTGCTTTTCCTGACCCCAGCAGAAATGTTGTCGTCTACACCATCAGTCATTCTGTGATCATTCTTTGGATCACCTCATCTCTGGGTTTTAAAGATTCACTTCCATTGCTGTGACACAACCAGTGGATTTACTGCATCACCCCCATCCCCTTCCCATTTATGAGCTCCCATTAGCATTCATTCGACACAGGCAGCTCAACAATCACATCAAAGACGCAGCCGTGCAAGGTTTCAACTGGTTTCCTTGGGCAGATGATGCAATTGTTCCACCCACCATCTTATCTTGATGTGCACTCAAATTAGAAATTGGTCTCATGGAATTTATACAAAGCTTGGCCTGAAACATAATCCCAATCAAAAACCAAAGGAATGGATTTCAGACAAGGTATTCTGATCTTCGAGCCTGAATTCCTAAAATGCATGACCATTGCACAAAAGTCAATCGTGAGATCACGTTTTCATAAAGTCGACCTGAGCATTTCTTGGCAAATTAGTTCCAGGCTTATCATGATTCAAGCTGTGCAGCGAAACAAAAAACCATCCTCAGGATATGTTACAGAAATCCTTCTGCACTCTTCCAAAACTTTCTACTCATACGTACGCCTTAGATAAAGGTTCCATTCATTTTCGCACATCATTTGTTACTGAAGTCATTTACCTTGATAATGAATGCCTGAAGAAAACATCACTGAAGACTTCACCGAGTAGCCTTGGGGTGAGATTGTTTGCAGCTTCACTCTGACACACTTTACAGAAGTGCTTCACCAGATATCTCAGAACAAGGCAGTGTTGCTGGGGCAGGCTGGGAGATTCCACAATTCTTCTGATTTGTTGGACACACTCATCGACGTTCTGGATTTCTGAATAATATAAATGAGATTTTGTTAAGCCTTACCTTCAATATGGCATGCATTGTGTGGTATACATATTCTGTATCATTCCCTAACTTAGTAGGGCACAAGAACCAGTAATTTCCCCAAACATAGGAAGAAATTTTACAGAGATCCTCCAGGTACATTTGTGGTGGTCAGGGTAGTGGACGAACATGTAAAATTGTTTGGCTGGCTAGTTAACAAACTTCCCTCACCTCCCAGACTCCAAAACCTATTTCTGCAACTCGCTCCTCGCCCCTGCCTGAGCTTCCTGTTCTTCCAAGCCCAAAAATCCCAAACTTACCTTCACCTGGCATCCATGTCATTTCTTCCCAGGGACTGTCCCAGCAGCAGCCATTTCTATCTTGTGGCACTGCTGGGATCACTGAGCTTCTAGCCAATTAATCTGTCCAAAGGGAGGACATCTCATTCTCACTTCATTGTGGACACCCCCACAATATTAATGCTGCAGGGCAGCCTTTGCTTTTCTATTGAATGGGGGAGGGCTAGTAACACTTCTTTCCATTTCCCACCCTCTGGAAAATCCAGACCACAGAATTTTGAATATAAACAGTGCTTTGGGTAGATGCTTAACAAAAAAATCCAAGGATGGCAGAAAATTAACCTCAGACAGTGGATCACACAGGAACATTTTTGTTTTGATATTTTATTGACATTGACAAAGACATTGAAGCAGAATGGATATCACATTTTAACGGAGTAAAATAATGCATTGTCTAGGAAGGGCTGCAAGTACAAAACACAGAATTCAACAAAATAATGTAACCTCCATTAATTGTGCTTCCATTATTTGTTAGAAGACAAAGGATAAAGTTTTGAACAAGATGCTGCACAACCCACTGAAAAGCAATTCCTTTCTGCCATGAGTCACCTAAATTGTTCAAAGAAGATTCAGTTCCAACTCGGTCAATCTCCACCTTAATGAAGAAATCTATCATCTTATGGTCACTCTTCCCCAAGGGACTTGGCACAGATATATTGCCAAGTATTACTTTCTCATTACACAATACTCAACCTAGGATGTCCTGTTCTCTAGCTGGTTCCTCACTGTATTGATCCAGAAAACCATCGCATACACACTCCAGGAATTCCTCCTCTACAGCATTGTTGCTGATTTGATTTGCTCAATCTATACACAGATTAAAGTTGCCCATAAATACAGCTGTCCTTTTATTGTTTGCATCTCTAATTTCCTATTTGATGCTTTCCTCAACATTACCACTACACTTCGGGGGCCTATTTCCAACTCCAACTTTTGTTTTCTGCTCCTTGGTGTTGCTAAGCTCCACACATACAAATTCCACTTCAGGATTACATTAATGTCCTCTATATCCAGCAATGCTAACCCACCTCATTTTCCTCTTTGTCTGTCCTTTATAAAAAATGAACGCTCTGGTCATCCTGCAGACACGTCTCTGTAATCCCAACCATATCATAACCACTTACATCCATTTTCGCGACTAATTCATCACATGTATTACAAATGCAATATGATAGAATAATCTTCACTTGCCTGGATGACTACAGCTCCAATAACTTTCAAGACATTTGACACCATCCAGGCAAAACAGCATGCCTTACTGACACCTCATCCACCACATTCAACGCTCATTCCCATCACCTCTGACACACAGTAGCAACAATGCGTATCATTTATAAGATGCCCTATAGGATCTCACCCAGGCTCTTTCAACATCGTCTTTCAACGCTAAAACCACTATCATCTGAAAGGACAAGAACAGCAGATACATGGGAGAACCACCCCTTCTAGAGCTCCCCTCCAAACTACACACCATCATGACTTGGAAACATGTCACTGTTCCTTTATCCTGCTGGCTCTAAAGCCTGGATCTCTCACCCTAATGGCAGTGTGGATCTCCCTACAATCAGGGGAGCAGCAGTTCAAGGCGACAGCTCAGTACCATCTTCTGAAGGTCAATGGGGAATGGGCAATAAATGTTGGTCTAGCTAGTGATAACCACATCTCCTGAATGAATAAAACAGAGATATTAGGATGGTGATTTTAAAAAAATGAAGTTGACCTCAAGCAGCTTGTGAAGGAACAGAAGAAGGTGTAGATGTGAAGGGCTTTAAGCAGAGAATTCCAGAATGAGGGGTCTGAGCAGCTGAAGCCACGGCTGCCATGGAGAAAGAAATGAGGTCAGATTCAGAATGATGAAGCCCTTTCAGGTTGGGACTTGGGCTAATGGTTGTTGGGCTGGAGCAAAATAAAGGAAAAGGATGAGTCAAGATCATGAAGGGTTTAATACATTAGGTAATAATTTCATATTTGTGGATAGATGGATCATAGGCCCATACTGATTAGCAGAGACAGGGATTTTGAGGTTTGATTCGAAACTGAATGGGATGTAGCAGATAGCATTTGAATGACCAGAGGTTTGTACAGGATAAGAAGATAGCCAGAGAAGCAATGAATGGTCGAGTGGGACATAATAAAATCATGATTAAAGCATGGACAGATGTTACTGAGGTGATCATAGACTGCCTCTGAGAATTAACCTTGTGAGAACTGTTCCTAATAATAAAGAATTTAAATTAATGATATTATAGACAAAGATACATTCTTGTCACATTAATAATTTTTCCTTAGACTGGATGATCTGTAAATGACTATAATAAGCAAAGTAGGCAGAGTGGAACTGTTAAGAATATAAAGGAAGCAACACTAGAAAAGGCTATGAAGGTATAAATATTCTGAATGGAAAACCTCAGCACACAAGCCTGTAGTGTTTATCAAGATTCAGAAATAAAATGAAACTTCATTAAATCTATAGTTAATATTGAACAACTGGAGGGAGGGCACCGCCTATATGTGTTAGTCAGAATACAATGTTTAATTCAGCCTTTCTAACTATTGGCATGTATATTACCAGATTCTTTCCTCCACTTGAAGTGACAATGCAGGCCAGTCTTCTCCCATTAGTGTATCCATGTGGCATCACAACTAGTCAGATTGCATCAGCTGAAGCCATTGAAAAGACTGCTAATTTAAACATTGAACTGTTAACAGCTTCCCCAGCCATGTGAATAAAATGTGTGCGATGATGCCCCATTCACATTCTAGAATGGATTTGGTAAAATACAAAGTAAGCAGGCATGAGATTTACAAATGCAAAATTGTTTCCACATTGTCTTTATTGTTATGGCGTATGCATGATGTTCAACTCGGTCAGGGTCTCTCTGACTCAGGCCAAAATTCTTCACAGGCCAGTTGTCATATACATGATGGTTGAGCAGACCGTGGACAGACTGAGATGGCAACTCTAAACTAAGCATCAAGAGCCAAAACTGTTTAACTTTGTTTTCAATAGCAGTTTTCATTGGAGTTACCCAAGGAAACCTGAAGAGGACTTCATTATTTCCCATAGGAAATCTGTTGATTTGTGCCACTCCACACTACAGGGTAATCTCTGTTGACACTCTGGATATTAGTGGAATTCCTATAAACACATACACAGAAATACCTCACACAAACAAATAGCTACAATGATATTTACCTACCTCATTCCTGGCTCACTTCAAACTCACCTCTTCATCTACCTATCCCAATTTAAACTTTAATGTCAATATGGTATTTGCCTCAGTCATAAAGACTGGAAGTGAATTCTACAATATCACTACTTGGTGTAAAGATATTTCTCCTGCTTTCTGTTCCAGGTCACTTTTATTGACATGTGTAATGACAACTCCCTAACTGGAGACCCATAGTTTATAGGATCAGGGTTTATCTCATTCTCTCTTCCACACCTTATGTTACATTTTGTATTTGGGGGAAAAATGTAATCATTGATACCAGGTGTTAATATTATACAGTACACATTATAACTATTGTGTAGAAAATCAGCACTGGTTTGGCTTTAACTGATTTATTGAATGAAAGATATTCTAAATTAAAGGTTTAATGCAAAGAATGTGACTTAACATACTCCTGCATTTTAATAAACTACTTGTGTAATGTTGTAAAACAAGCAAGATGATTCTGCTGTTTCTACAGTTCATTTGCATTAACGTAAACTTCTCTGGGGGTAGTACCATCCCCAATGTCAACATAATTGAAAATTAAACTGTGAGACAGTTGCTTTCTCAGCCCTGTTTCACATTGCCATTTGGGAAGGTTTGGTGACCAGATGCATAGCTAAAAATAATTGCACATGTGCGAGCTTGTGCAAGAGCAGCTGTCTTTGTGTTGCTCTGACTGCTGTGGAATCTACACCACTTTAGAACGCAGAGAATTTCAAGTACCAGGACCTGAGCTGGTATTATAGAAATACTTCCTGAAACAGTTTTAAAATATGCATAAAAATTAACAACCGTGTCTGGTACTGCATTCAAATTTGGCAAAGCAATACCAGGTATATATGTTAGGCTGAAAAGGTTTGGGAGTCCTAGTTACAGAAACATTAAGGACAAATAATGCATCTTTCTTTTAAGTTACAAATGTATAAAATTGAAATGAGAATTGAAGTCTGAATCCTGAATTGTAAAGTTAAGCATGGCTCACTACAGCACTCTTGCTTTTGAGTGAGAAGATTCTGGCTACAAGGTTCACTCCAAATACTTGAGCAAATAACTCTGGAGATAATTCTCCTTTAAGTAAAACCAGCTTGGGAGGAAATGTCCTGCGTGGTCTACCTGTAGCTCTGGGGTGAGTGGGCAATTGTCAGTAGAAGCTTTTGCACCTGCCACATCCAGAAACAGTTCAGAGGCAAACACAGGGCTGCCAGGTGTGGAGGCATGTTGTAGGAAAGGATCACTCCCATGTTCCTCTATCTACTCTCATGACCTATTAGACCTTCCGCCTAACCTATGACCCCCAACCAAACCCAGGATACTTTATAGCTCTTATTCCAATCCAGTGCTGACTCATGCCAACCCATGCCCTCCATACACCACTTTTTGCCCTTTCACCCTTAAATCCAACTCATCCAGTGCCTCCATGGGCAGGC